ATGTCAGATTCCACTATGGATTGAAAAGCTAACCATTACCTTAATTTTGGAGAAGAAAACATAAAATTAAATCCAATCCCATTTTATGCACTGAAGTGTATTTCTGGAAACACGTTACAAATTACACATTCTCAGAATGTTAGCGCATAATTAATCGCTGTGAAAAGAGGAGAGAAGAAAAGTCATGATGATAATTATGGTCTTTAACGTATTGTCAGTTTATTTGAAGAGGACTCAGGAAGTAAAGTACACACGTAAATATTAAGGTTCAGACTCGAGTGTGCTGCGGATGTAGAGGTTGCCCACATCCTTGCCCAGTGGGTGAGTCCATGAATCCATCTTCCATCGTAGGAAACAGAAAGCCTTCTGGATAGAAGGAGGTAGATATATTTCTTTCTCAAGTACTTTTGCCTTTTGAGAACGTATCTATTAATTCTTCCATTCAGACCGTAAAGGATTTCATTTTAGTTTGTCATGCGTGAAACTCTGTGACTACGTCTGCCTCCCTTTCGGTTATTTGTCAGTTGTATTTCCTGGAAAAATTATCATCTTTCAAAAATTTGAACTAAATAATGAAAGTGCTGCTTTCTTTAAGGTGTAATTGTTATAATTTATAATTATTTTGGTTATTAGTTTGGATGTATGAGGAGTGTCCTCACCCGTTGCCAGCCTGACAGTTTGAGCCAGAAGGCCAAAGCCCCAATATGATAATGGCTGTTGGAATGCTGTTGCTTACATCTTTAAATGCTGGGAATTAGACCACAATTTTAAACAGAGCATACACCCTTGAAAACATCCAGACTCACTTTGAATTAGTCACCATGAAAAGAAAAAAAAAGGCACAGTAAAATTACCTTTTCTCCTGGTGTCTCTTTGCTTATTTTTGCAATAGAAAGGCATGAGAAATGGGTAACTTCAGTTAATTTTCAATCGGTCGACCTTAATTATTTCCAATTCTTACATCTCCCTGCTGGTTAAGATCACAGTGCAGTGGGAAACAGAGTCGTCAGGAGCAGCACCACTTAGTCCCATGTCCCTCCCCCAGGAAATGACTCCCCAGCCTTTATTCTGACCCTGTGCCCTGCAGCCACTCACGGGCATGGTGTGTGACCTTCCCTGTGTTTTCACTTCCTGGCCATGGCATTGTGTTACCCAAGTGTTTTGCAACATTGACTAATCCTCTTCCTTTGTATCTCATTTGGCTCACTTTTTTGTTTCTTATTCAGTTGAATGGCTAAAGGTGACTTAACTCAGAAATCCAACCTGTGTATTAATTATAACTGGATTAAATTTTCATTGTCTTAGGCATCTGTTAAAGGGATGCGTTGTGATTATTCCCCTAAACTACTGTATTCGTTATACTATGCGTTATAAAAGATTTGTATTTTCCTTTGAGAGAAAGTAGTGCACAAAGTTACATAAGGTAGCAACTTAAGTATCAGCAAAGCAAATCTTTGAGATTAAGAGAAGGTGTTCATATGTATGCCTATGGATTTTGGCACAGTGTTAGACAATTTGAGCTGTATGGGAGTCATATATCAAACTCTGAACTTTATGACATGTTAGATAGTATCTTTAAAAAGTTATTCCCTTTGATGTTTGTGAAAATATGGCAAGTCTTTATATGAGACTATTGTGTTAGGTTGGGGAGTGCTGCCTTGGGGTTTTACGGGGTGGTGGGGAGAAATTGGGCTCAATTTGGAACACAAGGAAAAGTGGGAATTTTATAGCCAAGTAGTAGAGTCGGGATGGAGCACATCAGTGTTTGAAAAATTACTAAGAGGAAACGTCAGGGTTAAGGAGAGATGGAGGTTAAACTGACCACACAGGATTCTGACCGAAGATAGGCCAAGGGAATCAATCACATAGCACCTGGGGGACAGTGGGAAATGAGGAATTTAATCACTTATCTGGGGCCATTAGACATCAAGGGTGGGGAATTGGGGCCAAACTAACTTGGCAGTTATTAAAAGTGGGGTCTTGAGAACATGCCCAAGACAGGGGCTAGTTGAAAAATAGCTCAGAGAAGCTTCATTAGATTTGGGTCAAGGAGAGAATCTTTGTCAAGATTAAAAAGCTGTATAGAAACCTTAAAAGTTAACTTCAGTCTTCTTGGGGCACAGAATCCCAATCATGTTCCTCATGGTGACCCAATGAGGTCTTGTATCAAGTTTTATTCAACTGAGAGAGTCTTATTTTTGAAAAATTGAAGACAAAAATCAAATGTCAGATTCCACTATGGATTGAAAAGCTAACCATTACCTTAATTTTGGAGAAGAAAACATAAAATTAAATCCAATCCCATTTTATGCACTGAATAGCGCTTGCAAGATTCTAAGTTTCTTGAAAAAATTGGTAATTCTTTAACGTGAAAAAAAGTCAAATAGTCAAGGCCTCTCCATCTGTGAGGAATTTTTTTCTGAGTGGTGTTAGAATGTGCTCCACCTCCATGCCTTCGCTGATGTCACTGTGCGTTATGCCTCAGAACATTTTTTATTATTTTTTTTTCCAGATGGCAGACATGACGCTCAGGAAAGCAGCTTAAGAGACTTAATTAAAGAGCTGCCAGACACCCACTACTGCCTCCTCAAGTACCTGTGCCAGTTCTTGACAAAAGTCGCCCAGCATCACGTGCAGAATCGCATGAATGTTCACAATCTCGCTACTGTATTTGGGCCAAATTGCTTTCAGTAAGTTAGTGGAGTTTGCTCTTAATATCATCATGTTCACTTTTCTATTTGCTACTTTCAGAAATTCCTGAGATGCAGAAGCAGAATTCGATCTGAAATATCAACCTAATCATGTAGGAGAAGTTCCATCTTGTTACTGGGTATTTAGTTTTGTTTTTCATGAAGATTTTGAAAGAGGCAGCTATGCCTTTTGATGAAGCCATAATATACAGTAATTCAAATAACCTTATTTATAATTCTGGAAATAAGTTTTATTTTCAAAAAAGTGCATTTAAAAAATCTGTACTCTGAAATGTTGCTTAGCAGAAAGGAAAAGAGTATAATATAGTATTTTTAATAGTGATTAAGTTCAAATTATTGCTACTAGATGGGAAATTATGAGTAGAATTATGTCAGTGACAGAAAAATGTAACCTCAATTTCGTTTATTCATTTTCTTGACATGAGCTAGGCTAGAAAGAAGCTACTCTGCTTTGGTAGTGTTACATCACTGGCCACAGAACTCGTGTAAAGCTTCATATTTTATTTTCTCTGTTATTCCTTAATGCTCTTTAGTTGATGATATATAATACATGATCTTGCAGTCCAGAGATCTTGGCTTTTAACTCTCCTATTAATCTTCGGATATTAAACACATTCCTTCTAGTTAGAAGAAAGAACACTCACGTTGTAAACGTCCATGGAAATTCTCAGCAAGCTTTTTTCTTTTTTTTTAAGTAGCATATTTACTTTTCCACTCCATTAATCTATATGCTCATTCAGCTAGTAATGCTGCCATTTTCAGGACGACTGTCAAAATTTAGACTCTGGCTTAGGTCTTGGTGACTGCAGGATTCCAGGCCATTCAGAGCCCAATTTGGGGAGAAGGGCTGTCTTAATAACTATCCTGCTTTCCACTTTAAAGAAGTTAACTTTTCAATAATGGCATTTTGTAGGATATGTTAGGGGCTCGTGAATAAGCATCTCACACAGCCTCCACTAATGTTTTTATCTTATTAAGTAGGAGCTGTGATAGTAAAAAGCCTGTATTTGTTCTTTTTAATCTTACCTGTTCGTTTTTTTTGGTGATCTAATGAAGGTATAAGTAGACCATTGTTGAGTAATTTTGAATCTCTAGATTCTAGAAGAGGTGAAATGTATTTGCATATAGAATGTTTATTGAATGAGTATAAAACACAGATCTATACTTTGTTACTGACTTATAAGATTGGGCTTGATCTGAAATTTCTGGGAACCTGCTCCTGTAACCAATCAAATATACTATTCTTTTGGATGCTATTCTAAACGTAACTGTTTTCTAAATTTTATTTTCAGATTGTTCATTGCTAGTGCCAACATGCTTTTATTTTGCATTTATTTTATTACGAATGAGATAGAATTTTTACTTATGTTTAAGGGCTGTTTGTCTTTCTTTCTATTCATATATTTGGTTTTTTGTTTGTTTTGCCTGTTCTATCAGATCCTTAGCTTGGTTTTTTTTTCCTTGTTGAATACTTATTTTTCGTTTCTTTTTCCCTGAATCATTATATCTAAAATTCTACCTTCTTCTGTCAGTATCACCTTGTCCCAGCACTTTCATGCTTATTGTCTCACGTCATGCCATGGGTTGGGTTGTCCCAGATGCTAAGTTCGAGACTGAATTTTCAAGTAGGAGTTTTATTGGGTGGTACTTTTGGGGAGTACTCCCTTGTACCTGTAAGGAGTAGAGGAGAAAAGGATTCTGCAGAAGTTGACCTGCCATGCAGTGAAGCAAAGACTTCATTCCATCCCGGAGCAGCTCTGAACATGGGATGGACTTTCTGAGAGATCCCTAATTGAATCAAAGGATTTGATGTCTTTGCCCCATTTCCAACAGTCACTGGAGGTCAGCTGCACCCCAGGAGGTGGTATACTCTCCAAAGAGAGACCTGGCTTCAAACCATAAGCAGGCAACACTCTGCAGGGGCGGGGTGGGTAGTGATTACTTCCGGCATGAAGGGGATATCTGGGCAGCACCCCAGAGTCCACTACATTTTTATAATTTAAAATATATTTTTATAATACACTATGACACAGTAGTAAATATTTCTCTGAAAAATTTAGCCAACCTGGAACTGTAAACTGTATATGTTGTATATAGTTTTCCTAAGGGAATTCTCAATATTTTCAGACATTAAAAATTCCCTATTTTTTCAGACAGGTAAAAATCCTCTTGAATACTTTATTATTCTTTGAAATCATCAGAAATTGCTTCTACCAAGTTTTGGAGTTATAAAAATGGGCGCTGGCTTTTCAGTGCTTTGGATAGCATGATGTATCAAAGGCAGATAAAGCTCGACCTGCTGTGTTTAGTTTTCTGTTAAGTTTTCTGTAAAACAAGACCCACAGTGTTTGCTTTGAAACTTAAGTGAGACCACAAAAGAAGGTCCTGGTGCACAGTAGTCAATTAGCAGAGCAGTATTGGAATTCACAGACATTTAACTGAATGCATTTAAAGTTTCCTTAGGGAAAAATCAGAGTGTGTAGACTGTGCGTCCTACGACATAACAGACAGCACTGCTTAGAGAAACAGGACATTTCTCTTACCTTAGTTGTTATAGTTTTCCTTTTTCTCTTACATATTATATAAACTTCTTACAGGATTGATATGCTTTTTAATATTTAATAAAAGATACAAAATATCTTGTCCAATAAAATTTCTAAACCAAGCCAATGTCTTCAACCTCGTACTTGTATGACCGGCACATCTTCTGGCCTCCTTGGATTGCCTGGGCTCTCCCCACCTGCCACACCAATCTGTGGCCACCAGGCTTAGACCCTTGTTCTGCTTTAGGAACGCTGGACCCTTCTCCTTGGCTGCTGCCTTGCAGCCGCATCAGCCACCTACCTGCCTAGATTCACTTTTGGACTGTAAATTAGGATCTTGATTCCCTAGAGGCTACCAAGAGGGGTTGGAAAAAGCAACCCAGAGCTCTAGAACCATTAAGCCCTTTAGGTTAGAGGGAAGCAGAAGTCAGGAGAAAATAAGACTGATCCGTGACCCTTCCTTCTGCCTCTCGTGGAAGGCTTCTTGCAGCCTTTCTGGGGAATCCCAGACTGCCAAACAAAGCCTCTGTCAAGAAAACTGTCGTGTGTCTTTCTGGTTCTTTGCGTCGTAGCTGTGCACACTTTACATTATTTCACACCCCACCAGCCTCTTTCCTCATCCGTGCTGCCCTGTACCCTTGCTCTCAAAATCATGCACCATATCTTCATGCATGACTCAGCCTTTTCCCTTGAGACTCTGCTGTGAGGCTCTGTACTGTGAACCTAGTGAGTCAGCAGATTGCGCCAATACATTCAGAAAATCTGTTTTCTTAAGATAAGGTGAAGAATTTTAAAGTTTATTGTCGGATATGCATGATTTTTCTTTAAACCTACAGACTATGGAACCTAATTTCCTCCTGAACTTATAAACAGCACTTCTGCTATAAATGTTATTTCCCCAACATTGTTAATTCCTATGACACCTTTGAATCTGAAGCTTTCCCTTGACAAAAAAGTAGTCAACACTGAGGTCGGTAATACTAGAACACTAAATATTTTTATTTTCTGTTTAGAGTTAATTTAAAAATCTACTTGTTAAGCGATGTTGATGAAGAGCCCACAGACTCCCTAATTTTTTTTTAAGCTTAGACCTTTTTGGTTTGGGGGTTTTTTGTTGTTGTTGTTTGTTAACATTCTTGGCACTTTGCATTAAAACCCAATGCGCATCCTCAATTAGCTTTCGTGATTTAATAGCATCAATGTCTTGATCACTAATAATTTACTAATTGCTACTGATGAGTAAGTAAGTTTGACCAAATTTTGCTTCAAACCTTGTTTCCTTTACCTTTATCTACAGATACATAAATTCTATTCTTTGAAACAAGTGTTTCAATGCTAATCAGTTGGTAAGCAGTAATATTGCAGATATTCCTGAGACTTAGAAGTAAATCAGTTCTGTATTTTGAATGATAAGCTCCTATCCAGGATATTACGTTTTTCCTTAACAATAGCACCAAAATGGTTTTCTGCAAGATGGCCTCAAATCTTACAGAAAGATAAGGCAGTAAGTTAGCGGTATCAAATCACTAACTCATAACTTGTATCTGCATCATCTATACGTGTGTAATTAGGTGTTTCGATAACATCAGTAAATGTTAGATG